GTAGGTGTGCGATGCATAGCTTAAGAATTTAAACTAATCTAGCTGTAATCTAGCTGTTTCTTTACTATATTTTGCGGTTAGGGTGAACAATTTTGTAAGTTCAATCTTAACTTAAATTTTTACTTATTTTTTACTTACAAATCTATATGTGTATATGCTACACAAAAATCTTATAATATGAGTAAGTAAAAACTAAATTAAATAAATAAAATAATAAAATATATAAAAAAAACCTTTATAAATAAATAAAATAATATTAAAAACAATTTAAAAAAAATAATAATCAAAAAATAAAATGCAATGTAATATTAATATAATTACAAATTTTAAATATGTAATAATATAATATTTAATAATATATAATATATAATAATATAATTAGTATGATAAAAATTTCATGTTGATAATTTTTAAAGCAAAATTAATTGAAATTATTTTTACACATTATATTTTTTTTACATGTTATATTTTTATTAAATTTTTTTTTCTATTTAAATATTTGTTTTCTCTTGTAAAACAAATGAAAAATCTTAAAGCAAATATTGTATTTATTGTTAATATTATATGTTTTATATATATTTAAAGTCCACCTCTTTCCCCAACCGAATCCACTCTTAACAGTGTAAAATGTGGATGTTGACTTTGGTCAAGCCCCATCGTTGGTTTTATTTAAGCTGTGGCTGCAGCATCTGGCTCTTGGTGAGGGCGTATCGGAATATATTGGTGCTCGCGAGTATTTATAGCCCTGGAATATGAGCGCATTAGTTCTGGGGTGAGTTCCAGGCAGTCGCTTAGTTCGGCCCCATTGCAGCCTTAGCAATTGCTGTGAACTGCATAAAAAGGATTTCGCATGCAGTGGCAAAGCCAAGCACAGACAGATTTGAGTCGCCTGCAGGCCACATCAGTGAGGGGGTGCTTAGGCAACAGATAGGAAGTGCAGACGACAGCAGCAGCATCAGCAACAGCAGCAATAGTTGTATCTGGCTGGGCCTGGGAAACATCCTGTGCTGGATTTTTGGCTTGTTTTTGTTTGCTTTGGTGTTATGCAAATGCCATGGAACAGGAACATCAGCACACCACCCTGTGTGCAGTACAATGGCTACCGTGCGCGTGCAATGACAACAACACCAACAACAGAAACAGCAACAAGAGAAACACGTACAAAACAGCAGCTGTTTAACATTTATTTGCCTATTTATTAATTTCATGTAACATTTTTTCCTAGGAAATGGCCACAATGCAACGAAATCAAAGCCAAGGAACAAGCGCAACGCATTCTCTTGACGCCAGGCAGTCGCAGTCGCAGTTGCAGTTGCAGTCGCCATTGCCATCGGTCAGACCCTGGCCAAAATGTCCAGCCGCGCCAACTGTTGCTGCTGTTGCCCCCGTGCCTTATTGTTTGTGCAACAGCAGCCGCAGCAGCCGCAGCAGCAGCAGCACAAGCCTTAGGCCTTGATGCCTTTGCCATACTTCTCCCACTATTTGACTGCGCTGGCCTGCCATCGTCTGTGGCTGCCACAAAAAGTGTCGTGACCCCGGACGGGCCGAGCCAGGCATTGCATATGGTTAACCGACTCTGACTCTCGCTTGCCTGCCAAGGAGCAGGGGGCCACGGGCGGCATGTCTGGGTAGTCTGGGCTGGAGCTCAAAAATTACATGTTGTTCCTGTTGAAATGTTTTGTGTTTTGTGTGTGCTGCATTTCCATTGTCGTCGACGTTTATTTCTAAAATCTTTTTACTTTTTTTTCCGAAGTTTTTTGAATACTCTGGCAGGGGCATAAGGAACTTTGTCATTCAGTTTTCACAAAGTACATGATAAGAAATATACCTTGTAATTGGCTAAAATGTGGGTCATGAGAAGCTAAGTGTGGGCTACAAAATTTGATGTGATATTAAAAAAAAAAAAAAACTAGATATATGCTTAAAATTAATATGCGGTTCACTGAATTATTTAATAATAAATTTCAATTTTTTTTAATTTTAATTTTAGTTTTTTTAGTAATATATAAATTAAATATATTTATGATCACATTAGGGTATATTTTTTCGGTCATCTTTAGTGACTATTAACCCACACACACACACACATGCATATACACACATTCATATTGAGGTCTGAGGCAAATATGTAACAATCCTCCACACTCTTGGCGGTCAAAGGAATCGTCGTCGCTTACGCTTACATAAGGCCTGGGCTAGGACAAAGGAAATGCAAAAATGCCAAAAAGTCGCACAACTCAAAATCCAATGCGAATGTGAACGCGAGTAGGACATTTAGTATGAGTATATGAGAGTACGTATACTAATACGAATGCGAATGCGAGCAAGAGTACTCTCGCACACAAAACGATTCTGGCACCCATGAGCAGGAGCAGGAGCATCAACAGCATCAGTTCAGTTGCAGTTGCAGTTGCATTGGCAGTTGGCTGGGCGGGTGGTGGCTCGTCGCTGCTGATCGTGGCACATTTGCATACAATGAGGCCACAACTGAGACCTAATCCAGCCAGTCAGCCAGCCAGCCAGCTAGCTAGCCAGCCAACACACACACTCGATGGCGCAGCATGTTATCTCTGGCTGTGACCTACACCAATATTTCTGAGAATGCTGCTGTGGCCCGTCGTCGCCTGTAAGTGTGTCGTCGTTGTCTCCGTCTTAGTCCAGTCCAAGTCCGTAGCCAGCCAGTCAGTATCTCAGACGGCCGACGACGAGGAGTCATTCAATCGCGCCAGCTGCGGCGTCTGCGTTTCGTTCCGTTTCGTTTGGGATTTTTATTTGGTTTCGTTACGATTTGTTTTGTTTGCTTTTGCCTCGCTTTTGCCGGGCCATTCTACTTACAATATTTGTGGGATATCACCGCAGATCTCGGCAACTGCAACCCGAAAACAAAATAAAGGAGCCTTTGCCTGCTGCTGCTGCTGCTGCTGCTGTGTGTGAATTTCCACTCTGTCTGGCGTCTGTTCTGCGTCAGCGGCCCCAGCATCGTCACCATGAAGTGGTACGAGTAGTTTGAAATGGAAAATATCTATGAGCTGGTCCCGGCTAGGCGCTATTTCCCCAACTGCTTGGGGAGTGGCATTTAGTTTTTTTTGGACGAAAGCATTTGGGCAGCTAACTGCGATTTCGGTGGCTGGTTCAGAGTGCAATGCATTTAATGGAAACTTAAAATCATGACATTTACCATAAAGTCTTTGGCTTGAGTCGCAGCCGTAGCCTCCGAAGACGTATCATAAATTTCGAGAATCGCCTTGAGCGCACATAAACGGCAAACAATGAGAATTATTTGTACATGTGATTTGACAACTCGATGAGTCTTTGCTGCCTATATCAGTTGATTGTGATTATCACGACCAGTCGTAAATCAATAATTTTTCCCATTTAGGTAAATAGGGCTCTGACAGTATCTATTACTTCAAAATACTCGACTTGTCGGCATTTCAATAAATTATTATCTATTTACAATTTAATTAGTAAATGATAAATATTTCTTTAACTTAGCTTCACTTGAAATTGTTTTAAATCTAAATTTATTAAATTTAATAATTTAATTTTGAAACTAAATTAATTTAGTTTAAATATTTATACATCTCCTACTTAATATGGGATATTTTTATATATTTAACATATATATAACTAATTTTATATTTATTAAGCAAAGGCATCTGTAGACAGTGCCTGACTCTAAATTAAGTTCTAAACTTTATATATATAATAAATAAATAAATAAATAATAATAAATAAAAAAATATTTTTATATATTATAAAAAATATGTAATATATTTTTAGCAAAATTGATATATAAATGCTTTTAAAATAGAGCCCACGTTTTTAACGATACCCACATTTGTAGCCATGTCAATAAAAAATCCATATTTTTGTTCGTTTTTATCGTCTTTTAATTTTCAACTCAAAATACTTTTGTTTGTTTATTGTATAAAGCAAAAGCAAAAGGCGTAAAGGTAATAAATATGGTTTATAAATAACTTTTCATAAATAAAATAATTAACCTAATTTGTCTAGCAGAGAAATACAATTACATATACATACATACTCAAACATATAAACAGAAATACAAATACCGATGCGCCAAATACTCGTAAAAATGTTCATAAAAATTGCCATTTACAATATGAAGAAAATGGCTTACAGCTAATAGAGCTCTTCTGCTTATCCAGGTGCTTATCGTAAAACTAATTTGCCAGCATTTTATTATATGCCTATACAGTAATTAAAGTATTTCCAATGCTTAAGCTTTGAACAAAATTGCACAGAAAATATGGTTACATGAGCATTGGCTGCTCAAATCAGTTAGTTGCTTAGATTACGTTAGTTATAACTGCCTATTGTTACTATTCTACTTGTGTGTGTGTGTGTGTGTGTGTTCATTTTGTTTAGAGTTAGATAAAAATAATTTAAACGCTAAGATGACAAGTGGCAATTAATTTAAGTGTGATTATCACCTGCCCGTTGCACGCCGAGCCGCGCTGGGTATTTCCGAGCTTTGCATAATGCGCAGGTCACTAATTTTTTGGATCTGAATTGAGTCGATCCAGAAGAGGGAGAAAAAGAGAAAACATATACATATATACATATTAGAGGTGGCGCATAAGCGTGTCATTAAGCTAGCGGAAGCGCAAATTCCTAACATTTAGAATATTCAACATTTATATTTATTTATTTTTCAAATATTTCTTTTTCTTCTGTTTTTTTTGTTTTTTCGCTTCTGTTTCTTTTTGTTTTTGAGATTTGTTTCAATTAGCAGCGCGTCGCCAATTGGACACTGATTGAAACGTGCCAATCAAATTGTACTAACCTCTATCCTCGACCGGTTCGGCGGCATCCGTTCGACCCGTGCCCACCAACGTTTCGCCGGCAAGTTCTACACGCGCCACGTGAACACCGTGGAGCAGGTGTTGTGCATGCTGCTGCTGCGCTTGTTGTTGGTGTTGTTGGTGCTGCTGCTGGTGTTGGTGTTGTTGTTGATGGTGTTGATGTTGCTGCTGGTGGTGGTGTTGCTGTTGGTGGTGTTGATGTTGCTGCTGTGCCGCGGCCAGATGCTGCGACAGATGCTGATGATGATCGCCTGTAGCGGGCGGCCACTGTTGATAGGCAACGGGCACCAGGGGGTCCGACATCCATTCAAAGCTGAACGCGGGTCCGATCGTTTGGACGCTGATGCCACCATGATGGGGCGTGGCACTGGTCGGCGTGGGCGGCGTAGTGGTGATGCAGGGACTGAGCTCATGCGAGGAGCCAAAGCTATCCAGCGATGCTTTCTGCGCCGACTCCGACCAGGGCGGACTGGGATTCCATTGCTCAATAAAATCCGCCGGATCCGGCGGCAGCGTCTTGTTCAGCAAACGCGGACGTGTTGGCACAATGGTGGCATAAATAACCGAGGCGGTGGCATCGCTGCTGCTGGCCGCCACTCCAGCTGCGGCCGTGGCATACGCTGCGCCCGGATGCAGCGCATAACAGTCCGGCTCCGGCGTAATGGCCGCCACCGGCGAGCGCTCAGCGTGCAAATAGAGCGGCTCCAGTTTGTTCCGCGCCCGTTTCTTAGGCGGCGGCGGTGTTGCCGACGGTGTGGACTTTTGACTGCCGCCGGTAGGCGCGCCATTCACTTGACTATAATCTACGGGCTCCAGGCCGCTGCCACCGCCGCCCGGCTGAAAGCCGTACAGCTGCTGGTCCTCCTTCAGTTCGACTGCACCCTCGGCATGGTAGACGCCTCCATAGGCGGCGCCCATGTGCGGATGATGGTGATGGTAGGAGGCAGCTGCCGTCCCATGATGGTGATGATGATGCGCATGATGGCTGCCAAATACGCTCGACATGCCCGTCGCAGAGCCCGGCATGCCCAGGCCCACGCTCGCAGCTCCGCCGCCATGCGGCTGCTGATGTGAGCCGTAGTAGCCGCCGGAGTTGCTGCCCGGCGGCACACGCATCGCACTATCCAGCGGCATGCCGAACTGTATCTTCGACTGCACCGTGTAGTAGTGATAGAGCCACGAGTTGGCCAGCATTATGGTAGCCTCGCGATCACTGGGAAGATTGTCGCCGTTAGCTAGGGTAAATACTGTAAGGGGGAGTGGGTGTTACTTACTTCAGCACCTGGTTGGTGCACACAATGACAGGTTGTTGTGTTGAGTCGGGACTATCTCGCACCTGGAGCACCACGTGTACCCAGGTGTACTCGCCACTAGACCTCTGCATGCGCACTAGAAGAATGCAACTGCGATCCTGTTCCGATTGCGTTACTAAAAGAGCGGAAGAAATATTTAAGGGGGGCCCGTTAGTATTTTGTTATGCATTTTGAGTAGTTTATTCTCGTATATTTATAATTTATACAATATTTATTAATTAAGTAGTGATTTTGTATGAAAAAATAAAATGTTACAGCTTAGCTATTCATTTAGTTTGCAAATAAATATTTTAGATACTTTTTCTCATTTAATTAATTATTAATAATTAAGTATTTAATATTTATTTGAAAATTATACGTTATAAAATTTGAATTTTATTTGATAATTATTTTTGTCTAGTTAGGAACATAGATTCAACAAAGCTAAATTGATGAGTATTGTTTGAGTTAATATAAACAATTAAAATTTGTAATTTTTTTTAAGTGATGTTTAAAAAAAAGTTTCTTTTACGACTTCAAAAAAAAAAATAAAAAAAAAATAAAAAAAAAATAAATAATTAAATAAAAATAAAAAAATAAATAAAAAAATTTAAATAAAAAAAAAGTATATATAATAAAACTATTATTATTAATATAATATATCAAAATAATTACGAAAGCTTATCAGTTTAATAATTAAATAAAATGATTTGATCCAGGTATTTTTTCTCATTTTACATAAATATTTCATATCAATTTTGCTTCAGATATCACCCCATTTAATCTAAATAAATAATTTGATTTTTGCAAAGTTTCGTAAACTTACTTAGCCTGTGCTTGCTCTGCGCCTCGCGCAGATTCTCGCTGTGTATCAGATTGTACCAGGACGTGCCCTGCAGCGCTGCCTTCTCGTAGCCCAAGTGGAATTCGCCACTGCAATGAGCATATGGAGTGGAGTTAGCATATACAGGGAATGCATTATAAATGAGCACTCGATTGGTTTATTAGCCGCGTAACGAGTCAACTTACTTCTTGTCGATGTGTGCGATTTTCATATCCATGGAGTGTATGGTGGTGAACACATTGGTGGCGCCCTGCACCACACACTCGCGTGTCTCCGGCATGGCGATGGGTGTGCAGGTGGCTAAAAAGACGGGCTCGTTCCGACTGCAGAGCGGCAGGAATGACAAATAGTGACCCTGTACCAGAACGACCTGCAAGCAAACAGACAGAAACAGAGAGAGAGAGAGACTATAGATTGTTGTTGTTGTTGGTTATTTTGAGGCGGCGGCTCCCACGAAAATTGGCGCGCACGTTGTCGCCGCTAGTTGTGGCCATTTTTGGGCTGGCATGCTTCGACTCTCATAGACATTTTACTCTGATTCCATAATTTAACAAGTAAGAAAACTCTAGTCGAGAGCGCTCGACTAGATACTACCCTGAACCAAACTAATAGAAAAGCACATTTAGTATGGTTCAAATTTCAATTTCGATATATTTAAAAATATAAATGAAATAGAAAACTCATTTAATTAAATATATAAAAATTT